TCCCGGGACATGGGTTATTCCTAAAAACGCTACCACGAAGCAAGGATAACCCGCCCGCGGAATGCCCTGAGGGGCATGGACTCGCTCGTAATACGCCACCACGAAGGCAGAGCGGGATCCTGATAAAAACGCATCCCGGGACATGGGTTATTCCTAGAAACGCTACCACGAAGCAAGGATAACCCCGCCCGCGGAATGCCCTGAGGGGCAGGGACTCGCTCGTAATACGCCACCACGAAGGCAGAGCGAGATCCTAATAAAACGCATCCCGGGACATGGGTTATTCCTAGAAACGCTTCCACGAAGCAAGGATAACCCGCCCGCGGAATGCCCTGAGGGGCAGGGACTCGCTCGTAATATGCCACCACGAAGGCAGAGCGGGATCCTAATAAAACGCATCCCGGGACATGGGTTATTCCTAGAAATGCTACCACGAAGCAAGGATAACCCCGCCCGCGGAATGCCCTGAGGGGCAGGGACTCGCTCGTAATACGCCACCACGAAGGCAGAGCGGGATCCTAATAAAAACGCATCCCGGGACATGGGTTATTCCTAAAAACGCTACCACGAAGCAAGGATAACCCGCCCGCGGAATGCCCTGAGGGGCATGGACTCGCTCGTAATACGCCACCACGAAGGCAGAGCGGGATCCTGATAAAACGCATCCCGGGACATGGGTTATTCCTAGAAACGCTACCACGAAGCAAGGATAACCCGCCCGCGGAATGCCCTGAGGGGCATGGACTCGCTCGTAATACGCCACCACGAAGGCAGAGCGGGATCCTGATAAAACGCATCCCGGGACATGGGTTATTCCTAGAAACGCTACCACGAAGCAAGGATAACCCGCCCGCGGAATGCCCTGAGGGGCATGGACTCGCTCGTAATACGCCACCACGAAGGCAGAGCGGGATCCTGATAAAAACGCATCCCGGGACATGGGTTATTCCTAGAAACGCTACCACGAAACAAGGATAACCCTGCCCGCGGAATGCCCTGAGGGGCAGGGACTCGCTCGTAATACGCCATCACGAAGGCAGAGCGGGATCCTAATACAAGCGCATCCCGGGACATGGGTTATTCCTAAAAACGCTACCACGAAGTAAGGATAACCCGCCCGCGGAATGACCTGAGGGGCATGGGCTCGCTCGTAATACGCCACACGAAGACAGAGCGGGATCCTGATAAAAACGCATCCCGGGACATAGATCATTCCCAGATCAAATATCCCGCTCCCATGACAAATACCCGCTCACGCCGGTCTTCACATTCAAGATAGAATTTCAGACCGTCATATGGCAAAAAGCAACGACCATCACACGCATATATATAAAGAGGAGGGGGAAAGCAACGACCGCATTAGAGCGGCAATGTCTGGAAAAAGTAAGAAAATTACAGGCACCAGTTTATAGTCGAGACATACTCGACTCCAAAATATCAACAATCTAGCCAACAAGTTATCACTGTCCTCCTCGAGAGCTCACTTCATCTCCGCCCGCCCCCGCCGAAAGAGTACCTTCCGAGTTGACATCATCTTCAGAGGAACCCCAGGCCACCACCGCATCCCACACGGCGTCAGTGTCCCACTCCAACTCTGGATGGTCGCGGCGGAACAGGTGTCGAATGGCAGCCACCGTATCTCCAATAGCCTTGGACCTCTTAGCATCATCAATCTGACGGAATGCGGGAGACAACAAATAGGAAGCAACGGCCGCCTTAGATGCGGCGTCCACTTCCGTCTTGTGACGCAGCAAGCTCTCCGTCCTTTCTTTCTCCAACTCCTCGACGCGCACGCGAAGACGGGACGCATCCGCTTCCAGAATCTCCTTATCAGCCATTAAACTATTCACCTTTTGCACTCCTCGAGACAACTCCGCTCGAAGATCCTTTACGGTATCACCATGCTCCTTCTCCAACTCTGCCTTGGCTTCGGCCCGAAACGCAGCCCGCCCCTTGAGTGACTCCGCTTCCAGCTCCCCAATCCGCTTCCGAAGCTTTTCCATCTCCACCTCCCCGTGAAGGTTGACCGACTGCAGTTTGTCGTTGATCATCCCGACTTGAGACAAGCCCACGCCCGCCTACAGTTTCAAACTACCCCTTAAGAAGCGTTCAGAAAAGAGCCAAAATTGAACAAGGTAAAAATACATACCGCAAGGAGAAACCGGGCGGCAGTGCCAACCCAATGCCTACTCGAGGGGTCCTCAACCTCCGTATATTCAGGGGGAACGAGAAGCTTCCCGGACAGTTCATGCAGCATACGGCGGGCGCAGTCTTCGCGCAAAGAGGAATGCGGAGAGAAGTCAACGGTTTCGGTCAAGGAGGTCGCTTTTGTCTTCTTTCGGCCATCGTCATTCTCCTCAGCAGGGCTCTCAGCAACACGCTTACCAACGTCACGCCCCCTACGCAGAACGTCCCCTCCGGCCTGCACAGTCAACTGCCCATCTACCCCGCTCGCGAGCGTGGTTTGCCCCGCCGGCGGAAGTGGAGCCCTGCTCAGAGGGATCAATGACTTCGAATGAGCAACAGTAGACGGGCCCGGTTTAGTGGCTGCCTGAGAAGAGATTCCAGCTTTGGAAGAAGGTAACTTGCCCCGCCTCGGCGGCCTCGCCATCATCGCCACGCTCCCGAAGTGCATAGCTGCATAAAAAAGGGAAGCAGGTTAGGGTTGCAGAATACAAGCCACTAGTGAAAATAATGGAACAGGTCAATCATGCTACTGACCATCTCCGAAGAGTTCGGTCAGAATAGACTTCACCGAATCGGGACCCCGAGGCTTCATCCTAAACGGAGTGGTTTCGGCAAGACGCACGACGTGATCCTTTTGAGAATCAAGGGTCCAGAGCCTAGCATCCCAATTTTCTTTCCGACCATACGCAAACCCCGTCCTAGGTTCTTTATCACCGGAATACCATTTCGATGTGGGCTTGGCATAAAAGAAGTCTTTGAACCACGCATTATCCAGCTTGGGAGACCCAGTGACGAATCCATACACCTTGTCCCGCCTTCCGAACGACCAAGCATTAGCAACCCGCCGGAGACCGTAAATGAATCGGAAGGCATCAAAAGAGGGCTCAACCCCGAGTCGTCTGCACGCGAGCCTATAAGCGCATGCGTGGAAGATGACGGTAGGCGACAGGCGGCCAAGGGTGCAGTTCAAGCACAGAAGTGACTCTGTTATAATGGGATCCAGGGGGAACCGCAAGCCGCACTTCAACTGCTCGGTGTATATGGTAATCCAGCCCTTGGGACAGGTACCAGCTCGGGAAGTGGGAGACGGAGCCGCATATTTCCAGTCGGAAGGAAGCTGGTGATTCCTAAGCCGCGTAAGAATGGTGGCGGGCGTTAGTCTACTGTGGCGAACGGGGGCCCGTTCGAAAGCGCGGGCGGGTATCTCCTGTTTCCCCCACATGTGCTCATGCAGGCGTATGGAATACGCGTCGTCCTCCACCACTCGATAATCCTCACTCGAGGTATCTTCCGCAAGCTCTAAGGAGGGGGAGTCGGGCATTTCCGGCGAGTTTTGCTCATCAAGACTAAACCCCTCCTTCGAACTTGCTATAGAGACGTCACCAAAACTTGCCAGGTTATCCCCCATGGCGGAAGCGTCTTTCCTAGAGGCTACATTCTCTACGCCTAAACCCAAAGTAACATCGGTCAATTCATATGAGCCGTCCTCTGACCTACCCAGCAAGAACCGGCCGTCATCAGACCAGGAGCCGCCGAAATCAAAATCAAAATCTACCCCGCTAAGATCCCAGCCAAGTTCTGACGTACATAAAGGCGATAAAATGTTCAGATTTAGCATACCTTGGGCGGCAGCGGTTATGGGATCGGTAAGTGTTTCCGACGAGTCTAGGTTGATAGGTCCAGACGCCGGAACAGTGGGAACGGCGGAGGCACCACTGCCGGCGGCATTAGCGGCGACGAGCACACCGGCAGGGGACTTCCTCCGTCCGGACGAAGACCCTGAGCCGGCGGAGAGAGGCAGTTGGGACGTTTCATCTGCTCCGGCCATTGCAAGGGAATACTGGACTCGATTACGTCGCGGCGAACTATAGGAGCAAAGGGGAGGAACCCGACGGCGAGGGTGTTCGAGCAAAAAAGCCAAGGAAAAGCAGAGAGTAGTGAGCAGAGAGACCGGCGAACAAGGCACAAACGAAGAAGAAGAAAAAGAAGAGAAAATACCTTCGTTGATCCTTCAGAGGCTTTTAAACGTCGGAGGGCACAATTTCCAGGAGCGACGGTTGGGTTACCCTAGTGGCTATATAGGGTAATCATGGCGATGGGAGTTGAACGGCGGCGCGTCACTTCGACTGCTCGGAGGGTGCGTCATTACACGTGGCAGCCACGAGAGGATAAGATCGGCCCGAGGCGTGAAGCCCGATGTGGGCGGCCGGGGGAGAGGCCATGTAGGGCGTTTCCTTTGGTTTAGGAAGCGATCCCGCCCTGGATTATAAGTATCAGCCGCCCAAACCCGGAGGCTTTACCCGCCTGCGGGACAATTGTTGGGCCATAGGGGATCGCTGTCTAAACCAAGGCCCACGTAACCGGAGACGGCCCAAAAGGGGAAAAGCCCAAGGTAAGTAAGTCAAGGAATGGGCCGGCCCAAGGGACAAAGAGAACAGGTATAAGGCGCTACCAGGTCAGGCCTGCAGGAGGCGGGTAAGTACGACCAGAAAGGAGGGATCCACACCAATCATGCCATCACTGACACTTCATTAAATGCCGCCGCGAGCGTGTGGCACAGGAGCGGGAAAACACACGACTGACAAGACACTCACACCCACCACCTCGGACTATAAATAGCAGCCAACCACTTCATTAAATGGTAACTGATTTCAGACACTCTCTCTCTAAACTACTTTCTCTCTCCCTGTCTCTAACTTAGTCATCGGAGAGTGTTCGCGGGCTACGCCCCGGACCTTTTGTGCAGTGAACGCAGCACCCGCGCGTCAAGGAACAACGGTATTCTCCAAAGGTCTCTCCTTTCCCGCCTGACACATTCTAGGCTTAAACACAACCATTCACCAGTTTCATACAACTAATGAATCAATCACATAGCCAGCGAAATTGGCCAAAATGGGCAATTCAAAGATACTCGCAATCCATTAAACGTCTTCAATCCTCTCATGTACAAGAGAACTGCCCTGACTGGCAAGTGTTGCCTCTAGCTGGAAACTCTTGAACAAAGACAGCAGTCCCATACAACGGTAACCAGTGCCTAGACATTGTTTTGTTAGAAATCCTCAAAAATTGGGGAAGTTCTTTGATCCAACAGCTTCTACATTTCCCCACATTCTGCAATAACACAAGCCAGCTTCGGTCGATTGTTTGGTCCAGTAGCTACATTCTCTATCTTCCTGATAACCAAGAGGCCATCTCCTAGGACCCTCTGCGAAAGAAAAATCAATCAACTCAAAAGAGGGGCCAACATTAAGCAGGTTGACTAGGTATATACAATTCGATCCATCAGAGGCGCATAGAGAATCTGAGTTGCAGAGATATAGCAGTAAGTCGAGAGAAACATACCCCAAAGACAACATGCTTATTGTCGAGCCAGTCACATTTTGCACAGGTAAGGAAGAACTGCAATTTTGAAGGCAAACATTCATGGATTAGACCAACTTCTGGAATCCATTAAAGATTCTTAAGCTGCATGTGTGAGCAACTGATCATGTTCCTACATAGGTCTACCCTGATAGACATATAACAAGAAGTGATGATACATACCTGGCAGCCATTTGTACCTGGTCCGCTGTTAGCCTGCAACACATGACACAAAAACAAATGAGTGACAAAAGTTAACTAAAGCCAGCCAGCATGATTAAGATTGATGAATTTTGGAAACTATCATGCGCCTCTGTAGGATTCCATTATACATTACAAGCTGTTTGGATACAATTCCAGAAGAAATGGAAATGGAAATGGAATTCAATTTTTTATTTTTATAGAATTCCATTTCCAATTCTAGTGTTTGGTATAATTCCTACAACTATGGAAATGAATTGCACTTTTAACTATAATGAATAATGTAATATGTTTGCTTTATTTTGGGAAATGAAATATGAATGAGAGAGAAAGAGAGTAAAATGATAGTGGGTCAACAAAATAATAAAAAGTATTGATGGGTCCCACTAATTCCATCTTCATTCTCTCAATTCCTATCACTTTTGATAGGAATTGTAATTCCCATATTTTAGACCCATTGGAATTCAATTCTCAACCTTTTTATTATTCCAAACATAATATATGGAAATGGAATTGGAAATGGAATTCCAATTCCTTACTTTTTTGTCAAAAGCCATTTCAAGGGCAGAAAGCTTATGACAGAACATCAAGTTACACATCAGTTAAAGTAACTCAATTGTCTGTATTAACTGCCCTACAAAACTTGGGAGGCACTTCCAATACTAATCAGGGAGGAATGTTTCATTCTACCTGCGAACTGTGAATATACATCAAGAACAACTTTACAAAACTCGAGAGGCAACAAGAGTTTAAAAGGTAATATGCAGAAGGGATAAAAACAGCAAATGCCATTTCCAGGAATGATACGAAGCCCAAGACAGCTTACCATTGATAGTAGACCAGGCCCAGTGTGCTTGGCAACAAAATTTTCGTCTTCAAACTTATGCCCGTAAATGGAAGTACATCCACTACCATCGCCCTGAGGAGAAAACTTAATTTGATCAAGGATTGCACAATGCTCACGAGTCACGAACAAACACCCTACAGCACCAAAACCTATAACCCACACCACAACGCGAAGCCTGAGAGCAGTTTCACAACTCAAAAGAAATTCGACTAGAAACAAGATGAAGAAAGGTTGTGGCTAACATTACTCTCACATTAACTAGTGCCCTAGTTCATTACACTAGAAAAGAACACTCGGAACACGCAGAGCAACAAAGACTCAGACTTATTGTAAGTAAGGGCATCGAACCGTAAACAGGTGCATATTATCAGAGTTCCTTATAGTAAAGTAGTACATCCAGAACCAAATGTCGAAAACTTCAATTGAATCATATAAACATAATGGGAGAATGAATATAGACCAACCTTGACAAAGTCACCAGCTTGAATCATGAAATCCTTAATAACCCTGTGGAACTGGCATCCCTTGTAACCAACAGGCAATCCAGCTTTCCTGCCATTCCAAACCCACACATCATCCAAGCGACTTGTCAAGCAGAATAGCAATTTGTCGAATAGTTGAAAAGGGAAAATTAAACGCTGGAAACCCTACCTGAACTCACCGGTGCAGAACTGCCTGCAACAAATCAAAGTCAAAAACACAGAAGAAAAGAGTTAATTTTGGGATAGTCAAAGCAACTTGGTGGATCCAAAAAATGGGTGAAAGCGGGAACCTGAAATTTTCAGCAGTTTTGGGGACAATATCGGCGAAAAGTTCCATCTTGATGCGACCAGCTGGGATGGTACCAATAGTGATATCGAAGAAGACGATTGGATTCTTGGGATTGGGAGGCCTCACATGCCACTCCACATTCGCGGCCGCCGGCCCGGTGGCCGGAGCTGATATTTCTGCGCCTGCAGAAGCCATGGCGGGGAACGGGATGGGATGTGCGAGAGATGTTCAGTACTTCAGACGCTACTACAAGCTTCTTTCTGTTCAGACTTGACCGGAACCTTCTTTTCTCGGGGGAGTTGGGGTTTATAGGGCTTTTAAACGGTGATTTATACCAATTCGATTTTTCTTACTCTCTGATCGGCCCCTCTACTTTTTTTTTCTTTCTAACCACACCCTTTAACTTTTAACATGGACTAATTTGTCATTTTCACCTTCGCTCTTCTACTTCTGTTTTATGACAATTTACCCCATCTTGTCCATGGCGCCTATTAAGGTGGAAATCGGTACGGTATCGATATACCAATTTCAATACCGAAAACCCAAATACCGAATTACACTCTAAAATCAATCACAATCACAATCCTTAAATAATTTCGGTATCCCAATCGGTAGCTCGGTATCCCAATCGGTATTACCGAATACATAATTAACTACCTTTCCAATTAATAATTAAATATATAAATTAGATTTTATTGTTTAATTTAGGGCAAAGAGACTAAGCAAATAGTCTTGAGTTGCCTAGAGCTAACATCTCAAGTTCTTGTAATTGGTAATCTTTAATTTGACGAATTTGAGGTTGAAAGACGACTAATACTAGTGTGAAATAGTGATGTAATGATTTGTGTATAATTAAATACACACTAGCTTAAAAATTTCGGTATTGATCGATATTTCGGTATATACCGATCCCAATCCCGTAATACCTAATACCGAATAACAATTGAAATTCAATCCCAATCTCAATCACATAAAATAATACGTGTATTCGGTAATACCAAATATAGACAAATTCGGTACAGTATTCGGTATATCCCAAATACCGGTACCAAACTTCCAGCCCTAGCCCCATGGACTAAATGAATTATAGAACAATCTGAGCAATTAATTTTTTTTATATGATATGAGAATGTATAATTAAAATTTAAAGGCTTACGTATTGAAACTTTAGAAATCCCTCATATGACCAATTCATTTATACACATTTCCTGGTGGTCTCTTCAATTTCAATGGGTGCGGTGCGTGAATAATGTATTGGGTTTCAATAACCCAGAATTATACTCCATAAAAGATTAAAAGTTCTCCGATAAACAAATCAAATGATATAAGAGCTCTAATTAACAAATCAAAATGATTATGATAAATGTAGTCAAAAGCGAGTTTTTACGTAAAAACGTTTATGTGATCTAGAAGCGTAAAATCGTAAGTTTTTAAGTTTTTAAGCGGAGTTTTTAACTACATAAGTTATAAAAATTGAGATTTTGTGTAGAAGCGTTTTAGTGACCTAGAACCGTAAAATGGTAAGTTTTTAAGTTTTAAAACGCGATTTTGACTACATTGATTATGATGTCTGAGTTCTATTATGAATGGTTTGGATAATAGTAGATGATTGGTTGTCATGTTGGTTTAGCAGACACCACAATTGATATGACTTTCGAGTTTTGAAAGTAAAGACCTTTAAGATTAATTCGATTATCATGCATACAGAGCTTGGCATAAGACCATCTCCATCCCATTGCTTATACTTATTGCTTATTTAGTGGGATCCTAGGGGCACCACTTTTAAGCAATTGCAAGGATGTGGGGGTTCTTTCTTATTTAGCAAGATTGCTAAATAAGAAATTCATCTTGCAATGCCACCTAGGATATCTTTTATTTTTCAATTACTTTTCTTTCTTTGTTATGTGGTAAGAAATTGTATGAGTCCACTATTGGCAATTGCTTATTGGTCTTAGGGATGTAGGGGTTTGGAAATTATTGAATGGGATTTTTGCTTGATTGGTGATGTGGCGATACGGGCCTACTTTAGAAATTGCTTATTGATTGCAGGGATGGAGATGGTCTAAGCATTATACTAACGCCCATATGCACCAAAATGGCAATGGGCAGGTCCACTGATCCGGGGCGAGTATCATGCTATTCATATCCACGATGTGACAGATCAGTCCAGGTCGGGCAATTTATCATGGATCATGGGTCGGAGCAGGTCGACCTAATGAGTATGCTATTTATGTGGAAAACATTAGAAATATTCGTTCATTTCATTATAAGACCAAGAAAACAAACAATATTATAATAAATGTAGTTATATTATTGGAGAAATTGAGATTTTCACTAATTTACAACTTTGTTATAGCTAAAATGTGATGTAATAAAAGAAAAATTCTAAGTAATTTGACTAAAATTACATATAATTTAATATAATTTAGGTAAGAACAGGTTGAGAATGAGACGGATCAGGACAGGTCAAAACAAACCAAACAGGTCGAAATTGTTATCGTCGACCCCTACATAGGTAACCAATGGTCAATATAAATTCTTAATGAAGGGCTCCCACAACTAATTAAAAAACCAAATATATATCGCCCTTATCAAAATAAAAATAAGTGTTTTCTGGAATTTCAATAGAACATGCAGAAGCCAACAAAATGAAGAAACATCCAGAAATATACACAACATACATTATTACAAGGGAGAAGGAGAGGAAGCAAAGGGAAATATTACAGAATGAGATATAATATGCACAGATAACTAAACTGAAAAAGATCCCAGTTTAAACACAAACAACAAAAAAAAAGGAAATAGCAACCCTCTTCTCAACTTGCTATCTTCAACTTAATGACTTGGGTATTCTGAACTGTTTCTTGAGGAACTGGGATGCCTCTGGATCGGTACGATGGCACAATATCCTCAGCAGAGTCTGTGTATCACCACCCAGCTTGCTGCCACCACCCCCACTACTGGATCTCAGGTCATCAATCAGCTCCCGGGTCTGTCGAGTTTCATATAAGAGTCGTCAGAGTTCGTGAAAAGCAGACGATTAAGACCATAGCAGTCTGTAGTAAGTAGTAACTGACCTCATATCCATGCAGCTTGATCACTTGCCTGACCCGTGCAACGTGATTCTCAACTACCCCTCTTGGCAGCCCGTCTCCACCAGAAATGAAGAATTCCTGCAAATTGGGAGTGGCCAGTTTGGACATAAGACGATCAAAAGGTGATACTTGCAAAAACCATGATTGAAAGGACATGTTTTCACTGATAAGCTAGCCTTTTGGCTTGGTAGAGGTCACATTTGAAAGTACCTTTAAGACCTCCAAATCTTCTTCCAGAATTTTTGCATCAGTGTGGTAGAAAACTCGAGATGACCCACCATCTAAAAGAACCCGGACCAAGCCATCCTGAAAATAACAACAATGTCAGTACAGAAAAAAAAAAAAAAAACGTAAAAATTAAAGCATTCACATGGTGTTTGTTTTACAGGAGTGCTGCCAATTACCAGTGAAGCTTGTAAGAGGCTTGTTACAATACGATCCCTGAGTTGGTCCGAAATTACACTACATAATTGGCTTAGTTCCTGCAGCACAAGTTAATGATTTGCAATGAGTTCTCCAAATTCATTGTTACTGTCTTGCCACGCAAGAAAAGTGACAGTTACTGAGGATAGCTTTGCATCTTACTAAATCAAGGGGTTCAACTAGATCTTCCAGCCTATTCTGGGAAACCGATGGTTTATATAAGTTCTCAATGAAGGGCTCCCTCAAGTCCCAGAAGATGATTTTAGTACCTGCAAAAAGCCAAGAGTTAAATAAGGGCAAAATTTTACTTCTCAAAATAATGGACATGTGGACGGATCCCGACAATGATTACCAGTAAACTCGCATATGCGATCAATCGCAGCATTGATATCTTTCCTACTCCCATCAAATGAACCCTTCTGCTTTAAACTTGGGGACTTCTCCTCTAAAGATTTCTCTGTTGTTATGAAGGCAGTCCATGGTAAGCATAAGTTCTAGCAAAATCGTTATTAACCGCCAAACCACTGCTTAGAACTCTTTAGATACGTACTGATAAATTGTTCACGAGGCTTCTTGGCTGTCCATTGCTCCCAAATGCTATCCTCCAACTTATTCAGCTGGCTGATTGCATACTGTTTACAAAAGGTAAGAATTTGTCAAAAAAATGGAACAACAAAGTGCAGTCCATAATAAGATCCTTATTTAGTTGGATTCTGGATGAAGAATGTGGGAGAAAATTCTAAACTCACAAATAAAGTATTTAACTGAACACATAGGATAGGAGTAGCCTGGACATCGACGACACGTGATTTTGTCGTCTCTTCAGGCAACTTAGATTCGAATAGCTCCTTCTTGACGAAAGCCTTTATTCCGGCTTCCTTCTTGTATCGTGTAAGAATAGGAACTGGTGGGATCAAATCTTCCTTCTTGTCTGAAACAACAAAAAGATTAAGAAAGTTAGCTGCTCATTCATCCATATGAGGCCGGATTTTGGAAATCAAAGGGCAAAAGATGCCTAATCTGGAAAGGAAGGAAAAAGATCATTCATGTGCAAGTTACTGAGGAGATTGCAAATCAATCATGATATAACCAGAAGATGAAAAAGTAGTCACAAGCATGTGCAAGATAAGGCAGACCATGGAAGAAAACCTGCTGACACCAATAGATGGGACTCAAGTTCTTAAAGCAGCCGAAAGTACGGAAGAGTGAAATACAAGGTGGAAGTTGTGTACAGAGATGGAAACAAAGGTTTCCTTCACCAGGGTCAGAACCGTCTCCAAAAAACAAAAAACTGTAATTTCAGACCACATTCACATCGTATTGATGAAACAATCACACATCCTCAAGAGTGCAACTTTGCTTTCAAGTACATGCTCAAGAATGTGGCACACGATTCTGTAGTTATGACCAATACAAAATGGTTCAATCATAGAATCATGGCAACTGAGTACATACTTGTGAAAGGGATCCAAGAACAGTCATGATCACATAGTTATGTAGTTATAGACATGATTAGTGTACACTCACCCAACTTATCTGTCACATGTTTCGCAAACACTTGAAAGGCATTGTCCACTCCTCGAAACAGGCTATTCAGCTCAGAAGACCTCATTGGTACTTTGAGAGCAAAGAATTGATCAACTGTCTGCAAACAATAATGACTTAGCAGGTTAAGCATCACAACTCCACGTGACCAAAGCTATTTATCATTATTTAGATTATTAAAAAATACAAGTCCAATCTGATATCTCCATCAAATGTCATTCGCTTTTTCAATTATTCTTTTCATTATTGATCTTGCATAATCAATACAGTTAAATAGTTTGCGGAGCTCGGTAGAAGAGCTAAATTTCCACATGAGAAGAAGAAAGAATGGTGTAAACACATCATTCAGAGCTCTTAGCTGCATATTACAAAAAAAATTGCGAGTGAATTCACGGCATTATCGCCTACCATTCTATTTCTCAGCGCAATATTCATTACAGTCAATTCATTAGCATCATGAATTCCACCATTATATAATTTTAGCATAACAAAAGCGTAGTGGTCACTATATGGTTAGATAGAAGATGAATATTTGCAGTTGTACCTCTTCTACAATCCTGTATACTTCAACAATTGAAGGCGCATGGCGTTGCTGGGGGGATATTGGCTCCCATCGCTGAGGAATAATTAAGAAAAAAAAACTGTTATCAGGTACGCCCTAGTAACATAATTATAGTGGGGCAGGGAAATCAGGAAAATAAATGAAGGAAATAGCACAATGAAGTTGACTAGCAAGAAACAAGAACTAATTGTGGTGCTTGTGTGATGATGGGATTTCTAGACAGAGTAGAAAGGAAGGTAAGGAAAGTGGGGGGAATATGCAGCAGTCACCTCTTGTTGCAAGGCGCGATCAACCCATCCTAAAAGTCTCCCAAGTTGTGAATTGACCCATCTCATCACTAGAGTTCCAGACACTGATTCAACCTTCATTGCAAAAGAAGGATAATGAAACATAAGAATGGCAGCCTGACTGATGTGTTAACTATCAATTACTGAACTTTGACAGTAACGAATCCCAGGACAAGAGACAAAGTTACACAATCAAAACTCAGTACTACAGCCACAGGAAGGAAAAAGCAGTAACTGAATGACATACATGGTCTCCTGAACCAAGTTTAAAAGCATTCTATAGCTAATTTGTTTTTGAGGTTTCATTTCATGATGACTAACTAAATGCTATAAGTCACAGAATGGATAGGAAACAAAGTGAAAACAACATCACCCAGCTAGCAAACCTGGTATGAGTTCAGTTTCCTCAAGTTAACTTCTGCAGTCCCATCTCCACTTGTTGAAGAAATGAGTGACATAATGTAATGCTCGAGACTATCAGCGGCAGGGAACACAGACACAACATCCTCGGTCAGATGCTCAGCACCATCAAGAAACGGTTTCTGAAGAAAGAAACAAAATAGAATTAAAAGTCAGCAACGATAGATAACATTACTGAAGTGTAACAGGGTAATATGGGGACAGATGCAATGGCAGACCCACTGATGTTAGTCGTACTTACCAACTTTATCCCGTAAAGCCTATGAAGAAGTGAGGCCGAGATGACAATGGATTGAGGATGCCTCTGAGACAAAATTGGTGAGAACAAACTTGATTCTTTCTTCAGAAGTTTTTTGGTCTCTTCTGCAAGCAATGCTAGAGAATGGTCATGCATTGCGTCTGACTTGTCAACGCCTTGCAGAGTCTGCATTAAAGAGACATAAAAGAAAGAATTAGCAAATAATCATGTTGGTGCATAAGCACCAGTTCTTAAGACTCATCGTCATTAAGCAAATCTCAAAATCTTCTAGTGACCATAATTTTTTTGAGGACGACGAGGTTAAAACTAAGATTCTTTACCCAAAACAGCCCAACCATGACGATAATATTTTTCCATACACTCTCATACAAGTTATTGGAAAAGTAAGCCCCAACGGGTTTGTAATCTGGGAATGATAACATAGGACCACACCTTGGGTTCATACTTTGGGGCAAGTAATCATCTGGAATTTTTTTAGTCAAAGTAGCCAAACCAACTTTCAAGTTAATGAGACACGTTTTTTATGTTTAGGGTGCATTGGAGAATTTCTTAATTTCTTGACCACGAATTCGACTGAACACACTTACCCTTGTAAATGCAGTCTTAATGGACGATGATATGTATGATTCAATCTGATCACGATCCATGGCAGACGTAGAAACTATTCCCTGCAGAAAATATTAAGTATGCAAGTTTCAACAAAATGAATGATATATTGTAAAGCAATCACCAAGGTTCAAAGTAAATGTTCATTTCTAGAAAGTTCCATAAGTGCACACCCATGAAATTGCAAACACGGAAGGATGTTTCTACTTACAGTTTCAGATTCTTCCACAAGAAGCCTCCTAGTGACTATTGCAACTTGAAGAATACCCTCCATCACTGCTGGATCCTAAAACAAGGGAATGCATAGCATAGTAGCTATTGAAGTGAGAAAAAGAAGTAAATGACCAGTGAGAAAAGGCATTAAAAGAGAAAGAAAAGGGATAAAGATAAATGGGTGCTAGATTATAGTAAATATTCATTTCACAGCAGTCGAAGGAAAAATTTGCTATGGCAGTCGATATTTAGTCACTAACTCCAAACTTCTCCTCCATTGTGGAAGGGAATTCAAACGTCATTAGATCACAAAATAATGACACCACCAATTGGCGTGTCCAATGGATTTACCACATGCCTCAGAAAAGTGCAGATGGTAGTCTCCTAGCCGCTTATCAGCCCACTTCTGAATTGGTGACAAAAACGACTGCAAAAAGGATAACTCTTGGCCATCAACTCTTGAAGACAAACTTTTCAAATGTAATCTCTCTTGAGGACCCCGTTGTTCCCTTAGCGGTATTCGGTTGAGCTGCTCAATGGCATGTTGCAGGACTCCCAGCTCCCTGGTGATGACAAACTGTGGAGCATGAACCGAGATGACAGCGATGAACATAAGTCAATTCTCAGGAAAATATTATGCTTCAATTGCAGAATCAGACTCGGCATGGTCCTTAAGAACTGAGAACTCAAGGAGAAATGAAAAGTTAATACCTGGCGGAATAACACCCAGGTATAGCAAGTATAGTGTATGGTCTCAGTAATTCCCAAGACACGCCATGTTGACTTTAAGAGCTCAAGTATTTCCTCCACTTCCTGAGAATAACAAAGAATTATCAGTCACAATAATCAGGCACACCTTATAGATCACAAGTTATCTAGATTTTGAAAAGAATCCAACTTTAGATGGTAAAAGATTCTGCATAACCGCTGCAACCATCAGCAGCTTGTGTGCTAGCATAAATGTTTTAGCCTCAGGTAGCAAATTAAAAACTAACCTCCGTCAGCTTCCCCTCATCTAAAATGTCGAACACACTGAGGAGGAGCTTCTCGTATAATTTGACATTGAGTGGATATCCATCGGCCCAATGGCAAACTTCACCAGTTAAGTCTCCCCGAGTTGATCTCTCAGCAAGTGAAACAGCAATCTCTCTGAGCGACCTCAGGCATTCAGTTCGTTGCACTTCACCCGCAGAAGATTCACGAAACTGTATCATGCATTGAGATATAGAAAATTATATTTACAGCAACTCAAGAAGAAAAAACTGATGGAAGAAAAAAAAGCTACTGAGTTGGATCATCCCAGCCTTCCAAAATTCAAGAAATGAGGATCCTTAAGATAGAGTTAAAGAAACGGAAACATCACAAATAATATCAGCATGGCCCTAGCTTCAGGACTATAAAATCAAATTCTGAAATTGAAAAGCCACCCAAGAACTCCATAAAGAAAGAACCATTATGGACAATTAAACATACGAGAGAAAACCATGTCCCTCCACCCTGCCCTTTCTAATAGTAAAATCTAGATTTGCAGTTAACAAAAAGTGCGAGAATGAATACAACCATCGAAGGGAGAAAAGTTCAGACCTCAGATTCTTCAATTTTGGCCAAAAGAATCCTCAACTCACTTCCCTTGCGCCCAGATTCACTGAATCCCACAACTGGATGATTGATAAGGCCCTCCTCTAGCATGTACAGCTGTAGAAAAAGTACCAGATGTTGACAATAGTATCAGTTAATTCCTTCCTAGCTTACAACTTTAAAGCTTTTATCAGGAACTTAGACAAAGGATATAGGAAGAAAAAGAACAAAAAAACAAGGAAGGAGGAAGGAGGGGGCAGAATATACCTGCCTTTTTTGCCACCGTATATAAGCTTTCTTGTCAGAAAATTCTGTGCGGGAAATACAGCATAAGAGTTCCAAGGGTATCAACAGAGTATCCATTCTTTTTCCAACTTTTCCAGTCAGGGCATTAAGCAGCCCCTTTCTCGTTCGGATATCCATTGATTCAGATATCTGCATCCACAATAAACACAGACACCAAAATTCCCCAGAATAACTTCACTATTGAATCCATTGTGTTCCTAGAATTCAAACATCTAACAAAACAAGATTGAAGCTGTAGTTACCTCCATCTGGGCACGCATGGTTTCCAATAAACCAGCCATCCCAGGTGCACGGTCGGACTGACTTGCAAGAGTCTGAGTTTTACTGCGTCCAAGTTTTCTCATCAATCTGGACTTTTTGTCTTTCTTCTTCTCCTTTGAAGGAACTATGAGGCCTCTTTTTTATGATGAAGACAGAACAAGAAGAAGAAGCAAAGAGTGATTTTGCAGAAAGGTAAACATGGAATGAACAGCATGCATAAGGGCAGGAGAAAGGGAACAGAAAAAAAAAACAATTCATTATCAAAAATAAAATAACTGCAACTTTGAAAGAAATAAAAATAAAACTTACCCAGCTGCCCCAGCACAAGCCAAGAGGACTTCATATGCAGTTTCACGGATGTCGTCATCAGCGATGCCTTAGAACAATCATGATTAAACTGTCAGTAGAACAACCCAGTGTTTGCAGTTCTCAAGCAACAATAAAATGCAGATTTTGCAATTGTCTACAGCTCTACGCTTGCGACCATGAAAAATGAGTCTAAGAGGCATACATGGTAAACTGTAGCTGAAAAGAAAATGATGAGTACATTGAATCATCTGTATTCAGCATATGTAGTGTTTATGTAAATTTCTTATTTGTTATGGGGCAGGGATGGAGAATGTCCAACCAAAGTATCAACACAATAGGACCTCAGTTGTATGAGCACTTCAGTCTGTAACCTTTTCACAAACAATGAACTAATTCTTGAACTCCGCTTTTACACCGCTATTACCTGTAGCAAAAGTTGGCAATTTGGGGACAAGATCAGAAGCATCATTTGTATTACGTCTTACAACCCTAGCACTGGCAAATTCCTCAGCATCAAGATCATCATCCTCAAAATCATCAATTTCAATGTCATCCACAGTCAGTTCTCTCTCTTCCTCAGAATTAAAGGACTCTGACTTTGCCACACTTGATAGTGATGCAACAGGTGATGGCGCATAAACAGGAGCAGCCACTGAAATAGGAGTTGAAGCTGGAATAGGTGGTGGCGCTCTCCTTGGAGGTGAACCAGAAAATGCAGGATCGGTAACCAAGAAAAATTCATCTGCGGAACTTGTACTATTCTGAAATTGGAAAGAGAGTTATAATGTACTCAAGAGGGAAAAAAAAGAAAAATTAACTTCATCCTTGTGTAAAAAAAATGCAGTAAGCATCTAAATTTTGGAATTATTAATAGCCAAGAGTTATAAATAAAACTAATCAAACCTATCTATCCATCACTTAATTCTTCAAAACAAATTCAATGATCCTTACCATCTGGGGTAGGCCGGTGCTATCATGGTAATCTCGTATAGCCTCAGAAAGTTCAAGCATGCCACCTACACAAACCAACAGCTTTATAAGGGAAAGGTAGAAGTATAACCGAGAAAATCGCATAAACTTCAGAGCAACCATTTGATAACATGCTTGTTTGACACACCTTTTTTGGCACAATTGAGAACATGGTCTACACTAACTTGGTCGAGATCCACATCATCCAGCGTAACTGCCCCAGGAGGCATGACCACTTTCTTAATTAAGCTACCAGAAAGTATAAAATCCAGAAGCACACGCCTGTCCCGCCGGAACCTTTGTAGAAGCTCAACCGCATTTTCCCTGAAAACATCAAGCACACAACCATCCGGTAAGTCAAAAGATCCAAACCCTTGTTCTCTACAATTTCACATAATGAGATGCCCGGATCAAATACTCACTCTTCCATTGGAAAATGATAGTGTGACGAACACTGAGCTAAATTGTCAGCGGTGAACAGTCTTCAACCTGACCAGATAGAGGATAGTAATGACCCATTCAGTTCATTAAGAAGTAAAAAGAAATTAAATAAGAAGCCATTAGGTAAGTAGTTAATCTCAATTAAAATGCACATTGCGAATCTTAACAATGCTTTGTCAAATGCCAATCAGCCATAAAAGGAAAAAGAAGATTCATAATTCATAAACCAATTCAGATCCTGGTCAAACTCTCGTACCACAATCACTTGAAACCCAGGAAGCTAAAAAGGCTAATCATTCCCAAAACTCTAGCAGCCAAGTGAGACAATCAAATACAGCTAATGCGATTAATTAAACAGCGAGCTAAACCCCAGCCCCTCCAGATCCAGAACTACTACTCGCTTCTTCACCCTAACTTTGACCATTCAGAGTGATTGATTTACTCCGGTGAATTAAGACCCAACAAAACGAAGCAGCATTTTCCCCCACTCCAGCTCTCTTGCTAAGGGTTTCACCAATACCTCAGATAACTTTTGCAGGCGGCAACAACTCTAACAAGCATAGAACATCATCAATGGCGGTGGAAGCTTCGAGATGGGGGAACTGAACGAGAGAAAAGGTCAGCTGCTGGTGCAGTCTTTGAAGCGCAAGAAGCTGTAAGCGCGCGGAAGGGATTAGTCTGCGGAAGAAGAAAACTAAGGTGAGGAATGAAGAGGTGGGACTTGGGAGGGAGGAAGCGAATCAAAGTTATGATGGCTGGATTTGCTTACCGAAAAATAATTAGTAATAAAAAAAAGAGTGCTGATAAATGAAAATGGAAAAGAGGAAAGGTGGGATTTATTATTTCTTTTTTTTTTTTTTTTTGTGTGCGTGTCGTTTTATTCTGGGTGTATCGCAGTTTCGTTTGTTGCTGTTGTACTGGCCATGTTTAGACTTTTCCCCGGGGGGATTGAAATTGTGCTGAAACAGAGTGAGAGAGAGAGAGGGTGAGTTCCTTAAATCCCACGAAACTGTGTGTACTTGCTTTCACTTTTAAATTTTTCCCCAGAGTGGAATGGTCTAGTTAGTTGTGTTGTTATGCTTATGCTTTGCCGATAACAACAAATTTTAGCTTCCTTTTTCGAGTTCTTTGACTCCACTCGTAAACCTTACCCATCCATCATTTTTTTAAGTGATTTATATAATTCAAATTAAAAAAAAGTTAACATAGTCTGCAATATGAATTAGGGTTAATAGCACTATTGTTAAAGTCGAGCCGGACTGGTCGGTCTGTAAAATCTACTAAAACGTGGAAGTACTACACAACGATTTACGTGGTTTTCCCGTTCCGTGCGAAGGAGACTACTCCACGGAGAGTCGAAACTCTCAGGTACTTTTATTGATCTTCGCAGTATACAGGCTGCACGTACAAGTTAGATCGACAAAGCCAACTCCAACTCCTAATATACCATGTTCACTAATCTCCATATGGTAATTAGGTTACAAGACAAATAACTAAAGAGCTCCTCAAAGTTAATAAAACATAAAACGTGAGACACTGTTCAACACTCCCCCTCAAGCTGCAGCATGCAGATCACGAACGCCAGGGTTGGACAAAAGGTGGTGAAACTGCTTCGTTCCCAATGCTTTGGTAAAAATGTATGACAAGTGAGAAGAACTGTCTATCCTCAATGGTGCTATCTCCTTCGAAACCACACGTTCACCCACGAAGTAACAGTCCATCTCGACGTGCTTCGTGCGCTCATGAAAAACAGGATTAGCAGCAATATGTAGGGTTTCCTAGTTGTCACAGTGCGGAGAGGTGTCGGTTGTTTTCGTGGTACTTAGAGTTCAGTGAGAAGGAACCGCAGCCACATAAATTCACTGATAATACTCGCCATTGTTTGATACTCCGCTTCAGCTGAAGACCTCGAGGCCACCTTCTGCTTTTTTGTTCTCCATGAGACGGGGGCACCTCCTAGCTATATATAACCATGTGGTTCACCTTCGAGTCGTATGGCATCCACCCCAATCCGCATCACAGTATCCAGTGAGCTCAAGCGACCCATCAGCTGGGAAAAACAAACCCTGTCTTGGAGACTTCTTTAGATATCGAAGGACCCTCATTACCGTAGCTACGTTATCTGGATTGGGACGATTGACAAACTGAGACGAAATTTTAACAGCATATGATATATTAGGTCGGGTTACCGTAAGGTAGAGCAGACGACCCACTAATCGCCTATAGCTGCTGACATCATCTTTTAGTATATCTTTTAGTATATCTTCCATTGACTTAAAACTGAATCGGGCCACTTCAATGTCGTGGACGTATTTCAGAATTCCCAAGTCCTTGATACAGAACGTCGCATCCAAGAAACTCTTAATTTGGCAATAAAAGTCTGATCAGTGCCCGTCAATATCACATCGTCTACATATATTAAAGCCACAACAAATGTCTCTCCCTTGCGATATATAAGTAGCGAGTGATCGACTTTTGAGGGGCGAAAACCAAGTTCAGACAATACAAGGGTAAACTTCTGCTACCAATTACGAGATGTCTGTCGCAATCAGTGCAGTCAAAATCGGGCATTAAAACGTAAAAACTTATGTTTTTACGTATCCAAGCCACCAAAACGTTTCAGTTTCTACCTAAAGTCGCTTAGCCACAAAAACTGGTAAAATCATGGGTAAATTCGATAAAATCGCTTAAAATCAGTAAAATCGCGATTCTGAAGCGTTTTTATACGATTTTGATCATCTCATAAAAATGTGCTAATTGGTCCAAAATGATGTAATTTTGGAGACATATTAGCAAAAAATAAAAAAAGGAAAACATGATTCATCACTCGTTCTACAACTAGTGTCGAAATAGGGGCTTCACATTAGGTTGAAAAACACCTAATGGTATTCTCAACAGTCGCTGACCTTCTATCAGTCTTCTCCCTTAATCTTCACATGTGGCTCTTACATGGGTTACGATGAAAGTTTATGGGTAATTGATCGTATGTAATTATGTAAACTCAAACCAGCTTATGAGAATTTGGATTCTCAAGCTCGTTTACGGGTTACGATCTACATTTATGAGCTTATTATTAAGATGCTATGAGTTTTCTCTACTTTTGAGTCAACGCAAATTAGTTTATGTGTTAGATATTACATTTTAATTATGAATTTCATGTAGTTATTCACTTATCTAAAATCTGCACACTCACATTTTACATATTATATGTTGTACTTAACATATTTTAGCTATTTTAGAGGGTGCATAAAAAACTTAAGATTTTATGCTTTGATTCTACGTTTTACAATTTTACCCATTTTCCGCTTCTATGTAGAATCGCGCTTTTAACTGCATTGGTCGCAATCAATAAATCGACTTCTTGAGTTGACAAACTTTCGTGTCCCCCGCCTCGTCGAACCCGGGTGGCAGTTTCATGTACACCTCTTCTTCAAGATCCCCATGCATAAATGCGTTATTCACATCCAACTGATGCAAAGGTCATCCCCCGATTAATCGCAACAGCAATGAGAACCTGAACTGTGACAATCTTGGCAACAGGAGCAAAAGTGTCTTGGAAATTGATACCCTCTATCTGAGTGAACCCTTTAGCAACCAAGCGCGTCTTAAATCGTTCAACAGAACCATTCAAATAATACTTGACTTTATAACCCCACTTTGCATCAATAACCTTCTTGAGAGGCGACAAAAATGTCAATTCCCAAAGACTAGAAATTGAGTTAATAGTAACTCTTAATGAGGTTGATACTCCATGTGGAGTGAAGTAATTTACTTTAGGAGTACTTCTGATAGACTCACATGTGTGAATGTGGGAGTGAGGCCGCTCCCTATGAAACTTTGGAGGCACAAAGTTGCTAGAGCGTTCACTAAATCAGGATAACACGCAGGGCCACAAACGCACGGGCTAAGAAGAGAACACAACTCAATAAGAAGATTTGGTGTGCTACACTGTCTGAGATAGGGTTCAAGACTACTAGTCATCCTTATGAAATCGGAAGTGTAACCACTACGCTGAGATTCAAATCTTCGTGATACCTTAGCTTATGCCCGATCTTATGGAACTGTTGATGCTCAAAAATATTTTCAAAGAGCATAAACACAAACGAGAGAGTGTTCAAAGAACTCCAGTTTTCGCACAAAACTGTCGAGCACCCAAGAGGAGTTGTTTTATCCGGGAGACGACCAGTTGATAGTTTGTCGTGCACAACAACGGCAGTGTCGCGAACGTTTTAAAGGAAGCGACCTAGTCTGCGACTCAACTCCAAATTCGGTAATCGTTCTTTTTTTTGTTCCGTTGCTACCAATAAGTGCCTTAACTTCTCTTGTCAACGAGCATCCCTCATGGCCTCCGAGAAGTTCCAAAATTCTACTATCTTGGTAATAGCTGCAAGGTAAGCTTTATGTCTGGGATAGAACTGATGGTAACTAACCTGGTTTGACATCGGGTAGTGAACCGTGGATGCACCAGGAGCCTGACCAGGTAGCTCAACATCATATATAACTACCAAATGACTCTTGGTGGATGTCTCTATCTAAGTCCCCGATGCAACATGGGCGCATTATGGCTAACCTCTGAATCTAGAGCAACGATTTCAGGATAAATGTCACCAGGCTCGTCATGTAATGAGTCCTCACCAGCTGTGTCATGCAAGGCATGCAGATTGTCCCCATCGTGGTCATCTGGATCGGCTAGCAGAGGTCGAGCGAGGAGCTCAAGAGAGTCATGCGCAAGAGTAGGGTTGCAAGAGACATCGTAGGTGGGAGATGACATCGGGACTGCTATAGCTGGCTGACACTCGGCGTAAGGAAAGTTTTCCTCGATGAAACATCTCGTGCCATTACCACCTTCTGCGACCTAGTAAAACCTCAAAGGGTGTCCGATTAGCAAGTAGCTTGGAAGGTAGACGATTAATGAGGTATGTGGCAGTTAACACAGTCTCCCCAGAAACGCACAAGTAACCCTGAATGAAAACAGAGTGCCCTGGCTGTTTCGAGAAGGTGACGATGTTTTCGTTCTGCCACCCCATTTTGTTTCTTGTTTATGCAGGAAGTCTGCAGTAAAATACCATTCTCCTCATAATACTGTCGTAGCCCTGCAGAATGAAAATCCAAGCCATTATTAGTATAAATCCGACGCATCTGATAGAAAAACTGGACATATCGCTATACATCATATTTAAATTTTAGCAAATGAACCCATGTAGCTTGACTAAAATCATTCACTATCGTCAGAAAATAACGGGATCCATCCAAAGCAGGGGGTACGATAACCTCCCCAAATATCCATGTGAACAATCTAAAAAAATGCAAGGGTCTTAATCGAATGTGAAATAAAAGAATTTCTAGTGAGTTTGGCACGAAGACATGAATCACAGTGATGCTTCTTGTGTCCAGAATCCAATAAAGACAAACAAGAATGTAAAACTTCGAGCTTCTCAATGGATGGATGCCCCAACCTCGCATGCTAAAGCTCTGACGTGACTTTACTGGGCGCTCCTGTGAATCTGGCGGGAATCCCATCATCAACACGAGCTCCTAGCTCCCCGAATCTTCTAAGGTAGTAAAGCTCGTCATGAAGATGACCCAGTACAATCGTAGTCTTGGAGTATGAGTTCCGAATCACACAAAGATCAACGAAAAATGTTAATGTCACAACATTGTCCTTTGTGAAACGAATGGTCGAAAGCAAATTACACTTGAAAGTTGGCACAAGGAGAACTCAATTTAACCGAAGGTGAGGACTCAATTGTGTTGATCCTATACCCATAACTGGCACACTCAAGCCATTTGGAATTCGGACTGGCGAATGATGGTCTTTAGTGTTCAGTGTTCACCCTATCTAGCCAACTAGAGTCACACACAATATGCTAATGACATCCTGAATCAATGATCCATTCAAAAAGTTCGGGAGAATTACCAACCATGTGCTCTGTAGGTTCTAAAATCAAAGGCATGGTCGGTGTTAGTAGTTGTCTTGTTTCAACTGAGCAAACTGTGTTGCCAACAAACCTGTAATCGGACTCTCTTCAGCTTCCACGTTTGCATCATGTGGCTGCTGCTGCTACTTCCCATTAGTCTTGTCGTCGTCCATCATTACCGCGCTCTCCTAGGCGACCCTTACCTTGATCATTGGGGTACCCGATCAGTTTAAAACAAATCTCTTTCGTGTGCCATTTCTTGTTGCAGTGGATTCAACGAATAGGTTCCTCCTCAGACTCCCTTTCACGACAGGTTAGGAACGCAACTACTTCAATCGACAGATGTCGTCCACTCGTAATATAGCGCTCTCGCTCCTCAGCTGCAACAAGCTGATAAGCTTTGGCTAAAGACGGTGTTGGCTTAGTGAAAAGTGTTTACCCATTCGTTTTATCGTAGAAGTTGAATTTATGTGTATTTTTTTAAGAGTAAGTCGCCCACCCCGCTCCATAATTGCACGGATTTACCCACCCTTACTCACATTAACGTAGCACGAGGCATGGATATATAGGTACCCGCCCGCTCAACCCCTCCCGAGTCCCATTGTCATCACTATCTACTTCTACTATACTTATAATACGCCGAAGGGAAAAACGGGAGCCCCATTTCAAATTTCCTGCAACGAGAGTGAAAGTAGGAAGGACATTTTGGTCTTCACAATTACTTTTTTTTATTCATTAAAAAGATACATACTGGGATTTGAACCATGACCATTTTAAAGAAAGGCAAGGATCATAACCAATCACACTAAGTACATTTGTTGTATCCTTTTAAATTAAAAACATATAATAGCAGGGTGGAAAAAACTCTTCCCCCATTTCAAATTCCCTGCTCCAGAAGCGTTTGTAGGAAGGGGTAGAATAGGGAGTGTCAATTTTTTTTTTCTCTTTCCTCTGTGGAACGGACCAACTTACCGTACACATGCGGATTTAAACGGGTCAAGGAGTGTCAATTTTTTTCTTTATACCCTTTTATTTCTCAGTGGTGATAAAATATATATGAAAAGGCAAAAACAATACTTCTTTTTATTGCTAAAAATAAAAAATTTAACAATAAACTAATGCATGGTATCTAATGGGCTAACCGCTAACCATAAAATAAAAGAGTTGAATGGGCCCGATCTACATGGGATTTGACCATCAAGTAAAACAAATGAACATCATTGGTTTGACATTCTAAAACAAGCTATTTTCTCTAGCATAATATATTATGCTATTATTTTATATCTTAGTGGCTAAAATATAATGTATTTTAAAGTTATTCAATGGTTCAACCTCGACCAATCCAATTAGTCCAATTTTTATCATTTCAAATATATATTATATAATTATCGGATATCATAATGATCAAATTATAATGTATTTTATAGGGATTCGTTTGGTATTTGTTAGTAAAAACTAAATAGAAAGATCTATTTGGTTATTTTTAACATTAAAACGATCCTAAACATTTTCAGTTCCTTTTGAATTTCTATGATTTTATTTCCGAATAAGTGATGTGCAAATGGCGAATTGCAGTCACCTCTTTTCTTTCTATTTTTATTTTCAAATAGAAAGTTTAAAAGTAACGAATAATTAGAATTTGACATGGGTCGGTCAAACATGCTGAATTTTAAGTTTTGACCCGTTTTGATCAAGTCTAATTTATAATCACATGGTTCCCTGATACCCGATAAAAATCTCAATCCAAACCAGTTTGACAGGTGAGTCCGTGTTTACCACCATTTTCTAGGAATACGACAACGGCGGTTCTTATCCCAAATTGTGTTGTTCGTTCTTGATTTCCTTAGATTTTATCATGGCCTGACAAAAATCAGAAAACACAATGACGACAAGATGAAAGTTTTATAAAACAAATTAATGGTGTTCTCTTTCTGATCTCATGTAATTATATAATGAAGTTGAAGTTTTTCGATGCTATTCAATTTCATTGGTATGTTTTTAATGGTCTAACTTCATGGTTGTACCAACTTCTGATGTACTGTTTATGTTCCAATATATTCACTTTGGTATAATTATTAGGGATATGCTAGGCGGTACTCACCATTAGGCCAATTTAGCTTAATGGTTGAATCTACGGGTATTCCAATAATTCAATATTCGGCTCAGCTCCTCCGACCAACGGGTCGGATTATAAGCTAGTTCACTATGAGAGATAAAAAATTTCTACTGCTCTAGTATTTGAACGGGCTTTCAATTTCCAAACCATACATGCGTCTCCATTAATTTGGGCCGAACCCTTCATAATAATCATATTGGCTTTACTAGATTTAGTCCACAGCAGCACAGTCAGCTCAGGTAGGAGGAGCCGGGTACCTCCACTACTCGGCTCGTTAGGGTTTTGACTTTTGAGTTTTGACAATTCCAATTACTAAACCCTCTACCTCTGCTTCCAATTCTCCTCTCCCTCTCTTCCTGACACCCAATTCCTCTCTTCCGTTGTCTTCGCTGGGATTACGATGGAAGCGCCGCCGCCGACGGAAACCGGTGTTAGTTCCGGGACCGTACAGAGGGCCATCGCCGCTCTTCAGGCATGGCGAGCTACCAAGCTGAAGACCCAGAAAGCTCAACTCCTAGAACAGGACGAATTCATGTACGTTGTTATCTCTCTCAAGAAGATCCCGGAAAAGGGCGTCGGCCGAGTCAAGCCGTACAAAGTCAGTCTCCCTCACCCCCTGACAAACCCTGAAGACGGAAGCTCCGAGCTCTGCTTGATCATCGACGACAGACACAAATCTGGTCTCACCAAGGAATCCGCCAAGAAGAAGATCGATAACGACGGGATCCCCATCTCCAAAATCATCAAGCTTTCCAAGCTCAAGACCGATTACCGCCCCTTCGAGGCGAAGAGGAAGCTCTGCGACTCGTATGACTTGTTTCTGGCCGACAGAAGGGTGCTCCCTTTGCTGCCTAAGATGTTGGGGAAGGAGTTCTTCAGGAAGAAGAAGATTCCGGTGCCGATTGATTTGAAGCACAAGGGTTGGAAGGAGCAGATTGAGAACGCCTGTGGCTCTGCTCTAGTATTTGTCAAGACTGGTACCTGTAGTGTTGTGAAGGCAGCGAAGCTCTCGATGGAGAAAGATGAGATTGTGGAGAATGTGATGGCTACCATTAATGGGGCTGTTGAGAAGATTGTGCCTAAGAAGTGGGGTGGTGTTAGGTCTATTCACTTGAAGCTGCTCGATAGCTTGGCTTTGCCTGTTTACGAGGCAGTTCCAGAGTTGAAGTTGAAGATCGAAGGTCAGAAAGTGGAGTTAGAAGAGGAGACGGAGAAGGAGCTGGAGAGAGAGAATCTCGAGGAGGGGAAAACTGGGAATAAGAAGAAGAAGGGGAGAATTAGTGAGATTAGGTATATGGACACCAATGGCGATGCTGAAGTTGATGGTGAGGAACTGGCAAGTGATGGTGACGAGGAGACAGAGACTGGTGGGATTGATGAAGTTGTAGTTAAGAAGAGGAAAAAGGGACTTAAACAGGGAAGTGAGAAGAGGGCCAAGAAGGTTTCTAAAGTGAAGAATTTGGATGGCGCCGCCAAACGAAAGAAGGATGTCAGTAATGGGACAAATGAGGCAGCCATCAAGCTAAAGAGGAAGAAGAAAGTGTGAAGCACAAACAATAAGCTCGGGGTAATCATGCTTCCTGCTGCTTGTTAAACATGGCCGCAAGTCCAGTATCACTGCCTCTTTGTTCCGTGTAAGCAATTTTGGCCTTCTGTTGTCAACTTATTGAAGATTTAAGCTTTTATTTAGTTTGGGAAGATAGTCCTTTTTATTTTGGGTTTAGTCAATCAGACTATGTATCGTCATGTTCAATAGAAAATGAGAAACAGAATGGTAGAGTTTCTAATTGACCATTGTTGCAGAATTGGTTACTCTTTGTCACTATATTTGCCTTTCACCTATTTCTTGGACACAGGACACTTCAACTTAAGTTCATGATAACAACAATCGTTCTCCATCAAGCTCAGCCTACATTTGTGCTTTGTGTCCAACCCCCATTAGACATTAGTTGGTGGCTTTCTAGTGTTTTGCTGAAATTGCACCTGTATGTCTCCAATAGATAAGATACTCCCTGGTTATTTTCACGGCTTCAGATCATATTTTTCATAAACAAATGTGTCTTTCTGTGACCTACTTTGGATTACCGTGTAAGTCTATGCAATGAGTTACAATTTGAATTCAAATGTCAGATCAGACATTTGGGTTGTCGCATATCTGCGAAGACAGATTTCACGTTCAGAAGCTGTTATATCCCAAGAGGGTTGTTGATGAGGGCCACAAGCGCTCTGGGTAGACAGTTATACTGATGTTGACCAGGAAAATCTTAAAACGCAATACCTTCTTGTCTAAAGAACCTGCCTTGGTGATTATGATACAGAATTCTACTAATCTTAATGTTTACAAGTGAACTCGCCGCTGCTGCAAAATAGAATGGTTCCAAGAGGGTGGATGTTGAGCACCGTAGGGGTTGTGGTTAGGGCTGGCTATTTGGTTCGGAATTTTTGATTTTACTCGAAACCGGACTGTATAACTCGGACCGAGATCGGATCGGATCGGATAGTAAACAATTCAATCCAATTTTTGGACTTAGATTTGCGGTAAAAAACCGTTCGAGACCGGATCGAAAACTGGATAAAGACTGGATAAGAGAGCTCAACACCCAAAACGTAAGGGTAATTTTGCATAAACGGTCACAAACCTTTGCACTTAGTACAAAACTTAACCAACTCCTCACCCTTTCAGGCCTTAGGCCACTCAAATCCCCACAAACTCAATCTAAAATCAAAACTGAATTGGGACCGGACCGGGTCAAGACCGGACTGTATCCAATCCAATCTTTGGTCCTTATATTTTCAAAAAAACTGGACCGGATCGGATCAATTTGAGTCAATTTAACCGGACCGGATCGTATAGTCACCCCTAGTTGTAGTAGACAGTCCTACCGATGTTGACCAGGCATCTAAAGCGCAATACCTTCAATGTCTTTAAACGAACCTGCGGATTCTGGTTTCCCAAAAGAGCCACAGCAAGCGGAACAATAATTAATTTTTTTTTGAGAGTTTCTCTTTCGCCCATCGCCCCTCTCTGCGAGTGGGTAGCAGTTACCCCATCGTGCGTGGTTGTCGATTGCGGGATTCCGCCACTCGGCGGCGACGGATCCGGCCTCTCCCCGTCATGGAGGCTATAAAGCTGATACCAGGGAGGCAGCAGGATCCACTTCACCATCCCGAGAGACTTCTTGCACGAGACCCTTATGCCAGTCAATTCTCGGTAAACCCTAGATTCCCAATTGCGATGGCTGTTGTTCGCTTCTTAGACGCCGATGTGGCGGTCAGTACCAATCGGGAGGAACTAACGCTTATCGGACGCGTCTGCGGGCCTCGGCCTGCCCTCCATGCCCTCAAAGCCGATCTGCTGCGGATTTGGAAATGCCCCGGCAAGGTTTCCTTCGTGCCCTTAGATTGGGAGCTCCTGCAGGTGGTCTTTTCCTCCGGCAAAGACATGAAGTGCATTCGCAATGGTTCACCATGGTTCCAACCCAAGTACCTGATACACTTAGTTCCCTGGGCAATTCCGTCGGCTGGTCTCGTCGATTCCTTGCTCCAAGTTCTGTTGACGCTCCAACTGTGGGGCATTCCCTATGCGTGCTGCACAAAGAGACTGGGGTACCTGTTGGGGGCGTCCCTTGGTCCTGCCGAGCCAGCAACGATTCATCAATCTGAGGTAACCGGGAAACTCTTCATCAGGGTTAAGGTTACGCTGGACATAGCCGCCCCTCTACCTGATGAAATTCCGGCTGAGTACGAAGCTGCAGCCAAAGGGGCATTCAAGACGCAGGTAAAGTACGAACGACTGCCTCAATTCAGCTTTCTTTGCGGGATTATTGGACACCCGGGACATCGCTGCCCAAGGAATGAGGAACTTGGTGGGCAGGCTCCCCGCTACGGGAGGTTCATTGTGAGTCGGGAAAAGGGTCCGCGGCTGAATGAGCAGACGCTGGTACAAAAGAGGAAGTACACCTGGCTTCGCTCCCCCGATCAAGTGAAGAAAACTGATGGGCTTTGGGGATCATCCTCGAAGCAAGCAGGAGAACTCGTTGTGAATAACCGAATGAAGCACCTCTCCATCACTGTCGCGGAAGATAGCTCTGGACAATTAAGGCCTAGAGTTGATTTCGCCTCCTCCCCTGCTAGGGACGTGCTGGTTCGTGAGGAAGGGGAATTGCTCGAGACTGGCGAGCCATTGGCAAAGCGTCCTCGTACTGAGGGCACGGTTGCTGGCAGCACGGATGCAGCACAATTGAGGGTGGTGGTGACCAGCCCGGAATGGTCCCCCGAAACCAAATGAGTGTCCTGGCGTGGAATTGTCGGGGCCTGGGATCCCTCCTGACAATTCCCTCGCTAAGGGATGCCCTACGTCGCCATCTGCCCTTCCTCATCCTTTTGAGCGAGACGAAGAGGGACGATGAGTTCGTTGAGTGAAAACTTAAGAGCTTAGGTTTTAATCATTTTCAAGCTTTTCAGGGTCGTAATAGAGGTGGAGATTTGGCAGTAGCCTGGTCTGACCTGGTTACCTGTACAGTGTCATCTCCTAACCCATCTTATTTAATTATTGAGTGTTTGCACCCAAGTCTAGATAGGTTTGCTATTGTCTTCGTCCACTTAAGTTGTGTTGTAAATATTAGGGAGGATCAATTAAATGAAATCAGCTTGGTTGTTTCGTCGTGTGTGTTGCCTACGTTTGTGTTGGGAGACTTCAATTGCTTGCTAACTTCTAGCGAGAACCAGGGAGGGCGTCCACCTCCCCAGGCTGCATTTGATCAGCTACATAACTTCTTGCTTGCTACAAATTTATCTGATTTGGGGTGTGTTGGTGTTCCTTTTACTTGGTCCAATCGACAATCAGGAGCACGACATATATTGGAACGGTTAGATTGATGTTTGGCTAACCCTTTGGTTTTGTCTTCGTGGCTGGACTTGCAGGTTCGCCATCTAACAGATCTTGGCTCCGACCACATGATGATGCTGCTTCAATTTGTGAAGCCAACCCCCCGCATTCGGCGCCGATTTCATTATGACATGAGATGTGATACGAACCCTGAAGTGCCTGCCATTTTCCATCAAGCTTGGTCCAAGGAAGTTAGAGGAACCTTGCAATTCAAACTGCAATCTCATCTAAAAAAACTGAGGCATGACTTAGTGGAATGGGCTCGCAAGGGAACCTCTAACTCCGCTCGGCAGATCAAGGAACTTAAGGAGAGAATTGATTCGGCCAAGGAGGCTCCAAGTGTGCAATGGGAATACATTAAGGAGGTGGAAATTCAGCTAGGAGAGGCTTTTAGGAAGAAGAGTGCTATTGGAAGCAAAAGTCTCGAGTTTGATGGCTGCAAACCGGGGATGCTAATTCCCACTTCTTCCATCTTTCTACAATGCAAAGACGAAGAACAAACTCCATTCTAACCCTGAAATATGAGCAAGGGGTGTTGCACTCCAATGAAGACGAGAAGGGTGGGATATCAGTTGATTAAGTGCTTTTCACTTCCCTGGGGACCGATCCAAGTGAGTATGTAGAGCAACTTCAGCTTCCGCAGGCTGTAGATGCAAATGCCAACAACTTCCTCACAACGTCGGTTTCGTACGAGGAGATCCGCAAGGCTGTGTTCGCCATTGGCAAGTCTCAAGCACCTAGGTCGGATGGATTTACAGGAGCTTTCTATCATAGGTTCTGGTCTGAGATTGAAGGTGACGTTTGCGAGGCAGTCCTATCTTTCTTCAACACTGGGCGGCTTTTCCAAAGCATAAACCATACATGGATTGCCTTGATACCAAAAGTGGCTCATGCGGATTCAATGAAGCAAATGCGGCCCATTAGCTTATGTCAGGTTTTGTATAAAATAATTGCTAAGATCCTTGTTGGGCGCTTGAGTTCCATACTTCCTAATATTGTGAGTTCGTATCAGAATGGATTTGTGAAAGGTCGATCGATCACTGACAACATTTTGATTGCCCAAGAGATTATGCAGTTCCTTAAACGAAATCGCAGGGGAAAGAGAAGTGGATGGCACTAAAGCTTGACATGGAGAAGGCGTATGATCGTGTTGAGTGGAACTTTTTGCTTGCTGTCCTGGAGGCGATGGGCTTCTCTCGCACCTGGCTCAAGTGGATTCATTCCTGCATAACCACAGTGCACTTTTCAGTTCTTATGAACGGCGTCGAGTACGGTTACTTCCAGCCTCAGTGTGGGATTCGCCAAGGTGATCCTTTATCCCCCTTGCTATTTGCTCTCTACTCTGAAGCCTTCTCTGCTCGGATACTCTCTGAGATTTCAGCTTCTTCATTACATGGCTTGCGTGTGCATAGGAGGGCGCCCATCACCTCTCATCTTTTTTCGCAGATGACACATATTTATTTCTTCGTGCTACTCGTCCTGAATGTGCTAACCTTCTTCATATGCTATCTGAATATGAATCTATGAGTGGTCAGAAGGTTAATTTGCATAAATCTTCAATGTGTGTTAGTAGTAATGTGAATGACTTGGAATTAATGAACTCACTGATTCCCTGGGAGTTTCCAAGATGGGTGAAGTCGACAAGTATCTTGGCCTTC